CTAACTTTGAGATGAACAGATCGACTGATAGAATGTCTCATGAATTAGTTTGATCAATTAAATCAGCTGAAATTTATCTGGGACTCATATTCAAAGATCAATTAGACAGCCTGTTGTGATTTTAGTTACTTCAATCAGCTACCTATATGATTTAATTCTCTGAACCACTTCGTAGGGCACAATTTTCCAGATACAAGGTTTAATCAATATTGTAACAGTTGATGCCTACAATAGATAGTGACTTCTATAATCTACTTAAATTCACCTACCCTTAAAATCGGGGTTTCTTTCTATTAGGCACCAGAGTTTTTCCAGGTTTTCCAAAGTGACCAACCTAGCCTCTAGACAGTGTCCAATCTAGCATCTAGAGTTCCAGACAGTCCTATTTGACGGATGATCGGAAATCTAGCCAGTCCCTAAGGCGCTGTTGATACAAACGAAATTCCATTACTAACCCCAAAATATACACAGCCCAAACTTCTTGAAGTGTTAGAAATCCTTTCTCATGATAACTAAAAAAAAAACATAACTAATCAACCCACCTGCAATCAGGACTTCTCCATCTCGTCAATTACTTCACGATGTCCAGTGAGGTTATGGAATGTTGCGGCGACAATATATCCTCACAAGAGAGAAATTTGGGTCATCGATCAAAAATTTCAACACACGTTGAATCACACAAATTATCACTACCCAAATCACTAAATGGCGGCCTCAGAACATAATCCTAATTAAAGATGATTATGAAAATCAAATATAATTCTGAAGACGCCAGTCAAACGCAATCAAGCCATTTTTCAGAGAGAGAGAGAGAGAGAGAGCTAACGAAAGACAGAACACCCACTCAAAGTCATCCACTGGTCATCGATTCAAAATTACCTGGGACGATCCCTCTAGGGACAGAATGCAAGGAGAGAGGGCGCAGCAGATAAAGGTATGTCCACGCCTGCACGAATCAATTTCACAGTATCAGCAAAGTACTGTTGGAAGCATTTCTGAATGCATTAAAAGATTGTACAGCCTCATTCGATAAATGCGACTGAATGACCCAAATAAATATTTCACTTACGGTCGTGTAACGTGCCTTCACTTTGATGAACTTCCATCAATTGTGGGACCAGAAATAAAGAAATTATATATGTCAGGAAAACCCTTATCTCCAGTATATTTTGGTCGCCTGAGTATTAACGTCGAATTCTGTTGGGAACAAGCACGGACACACCTTAATCCGCGTCCTTTCTGCGTCATACCGCACCTTACCCTACCCCACAATTTCTACACTTCGTGCAAGAGGTACTGTTCCCTGACTGACAGTTAGCACGAGGGCGTGCGAGAACGCACGAGAACCGATGATCACCTAAAGGAAGAACAGCTCCGAGACGGCGAGACCGCTTCCAGCTAACTTTACTTGAGTAATATAACCCGAAAATTCCAAACAACGTAAACAATAATACAGTGCCCACGGCCCCACTTTTATACCAACAATTCAATCAGTGCAGGACGTAGCGATCGTTCATTAGATGTTTATCACAATAGAAGTCAGATGGACTGAAAGGTATGCTAAGCATTGTCTCGTTGCTCCCAGTGGATATTGAATCGGCCAACTGATTACTAAGTTGCTAAGAAATCAAATGATGTCTCTTCACAGTGAATGACCAGGTAGTTGATGGAGGTAGGTTACTTATCAATGTGTTCAATTGAGGATATATACCTAACGTAGAAAATGAACGTTACAACTGCACAATCAAAGCTTGTGGATAGAGTAATTTTCCTCTACTCATACTTTTCATGAGAGAGTATTTGACTTTTATTATCAATTCATCATTATAAATTGAATTCTGTTAACAAAATTCGAACTGAATTTTTCTAAGTGTAATATAGCAACAATACGACTAGAAATTCCTGAGATTCTGTGCAGCAAAATGATTTTTGGTAATTTTCGAATTCAGTTTTAATTTTGGTAAGTGCTCTTGCCAAATTTTCAGGCTCTAGTTTTTCATTACGACTTGTGCGTAATTTTACATTTTTCGATAAATTAGATGGACAGTTAGAAAATCAAGTAGAAATAACATCTCGTTCGAGCCTATAGAAATTTTCAAATCTATTGTTACAGTTTTGCCAGTTCTGGAATTGGTTGCAGTTGATGAAGTAATGATAGCATCTCCAGTGAAATGTAATTCACGAATTCAACTGTACTCAGATGGAGTGAAATCCTCGCGGTGAATTGCATATACCCACTTTTGCGATAGTTCCTTGTCCAACGGGAAACTAAAAGCATAAACTTTTTGATCACCCACATGATTCCCCCGACAAAATGGAACACAACACTTGAAAGGCATTGTTGTTTCGCTTATCACAACACAAAATATTTCACAAAATCGTAATTTTTCCGCCGATTATTTTGATGCATGAACATGAAACATACCTAAACAAACTGACAGTCGACACGCGAAGGATTAAAAGCATGGCCTCAGTTAGCTGCTATTGGCGGGAGTATATATTCATGTGTTCGACAATAAACGGAACGCACTGTGGAAATAACTACTGATGTAACGACAAATTCAATTTTTTGTTACAAACAATCAGCCGATACACGAGTCTAAATGTCAAAGTTTTCAAAATCGATCTGACGAAAGTTCCATAATATATCACATCGAATAAAATATCACTAACAAGACTTTCCAATTATTTTTCCTCTCATTCACATGACAACGGAAGATATACTGATGTCACATCACAAATATAACAATTTCATCATTAGTTGCAAGGCGGTCCTACCGAGGGAGAGTGTTAATGGAGGGGTGATTTCTTTCACCATCCCCCCTTGGAGACACATATCAATTTTTTGAATTCCATAGAGAGAATATTGAATATCACATCACCAAGAGAATTATCAAGTATTCCAAATTATTGTATGAGAGTCGCTATACTTAGAAATCATTGAAACATTTGCATTATTTTTCATTGTGCTCCTACGCAGTATGTCATCTTATACAGCTGTAGCAATTCGTCGTTGCATGCCAGAAAATATATGGGCCCGGGCTCATTCTCTTGCTGGTGCAATTCTGGTGATGAATTTCGGTATTTTATGCATCATTAGATGCAAATTGAATGTTACTGTTTTCATGGTTGCTCATTCTACCCGACTCATAACTCAATGAAAGCCAGAAGACAGATTCTTTGACGAAAAAAATTCATTCTGAACATGCCAATTCAGTATAAAATAGCCTGCATATTGTTATTGCCAAAAATATGGATGGCTGCAATCAATTGCATACAATAAAATATTAGAAACAGAGAAGCACTATGAATATAAGGTGACTCAGAATCCGATGCGAATATTATAAGGACAATTATGTTGTTTGAGAAAAAATACTCTTTCACTATATCTCCTTCTTCCTCGGAGCACTGGTGAGCGGGTGAACACCCCTGCACGTAAGCCTCCTTATTCAGACTCATAGTGCTCACTGTGTTGCCTCAGCTGAATTCCTCTCAGGTCCTTCGGCCTTGAAGTTAGGTTGCCAAGGACAGCCCCCCCTCTGATGTGTCAGTGCTGGGCACTCAGTGGGGACATGCGATGATGTTTCGTCATCTTCCATGCACCATCTGCAAAGGGAATCATCTTTGATCTCAATAAGCTCTAGGTGCCTATTGATGTGGTTGTGTCCCGTTGGGAGCCCTACTACAATTTTGAGAACTCGCCTCATGAGAGATAGAACCTTCATTATGAGCTCCTCCTAAGGTTCCTTCATGTGGAGCTTCGATTGTCTCATTCCTGTTATTGTGTCCTGTCATATTTTGAGCAATTGAATTTCCAGCTGTCCCTACATGCAGGACATTGCCAGACTGTTTGGTATTCCGAATATTGGCTTTAGTCCGACCGGGAACCGTCCTGGATCGATCTTTGCTAGTCTGTCTGCCTCCTCGTTTCCGGGTATCCCCGAGTGTCCCTGAGCCCACATCAGGCTTCTTGATTTTGTAATGTTTTCCAGGGCCTTTCTGCACTCGCACACCAAATTGGTTGTGATCCAATTGAATTACAGAGCTTGTATTGCAACTTTGTTGTTCGAGCATACAGTGATTGGCCTACGACATCCCATAATCAGGTTTACTTGGAAACAGGTGAGTATCGCAAGTACTTCAGCCTGGAACATCGAGGCATATTTGCTCAAAGAAACCAAAATTTCTCTTTCTGTCCCTTCATTGTCCCAATTCAATCATGTATCCTCAAATGCACCCCTTATGAGCTACAGCTACTGTGATTTTGTCAAAAAAGAAGATTATCTGAGATTGTGACTGAAATATCGAATCAAGTCTTCTGGAAATTGGCATGCTTCTGTCTTTTCGAACAATCCATTCTCTTCATGCTTGATAGATGATATGAACCCAGTTCTGTGGAAGTTGTAGGGAGGTCCACACTTGGGATAGAGTTCATTTCAGGGCAAACGTTTATATCAAGAAAAAAATTCATTTTGATCCCAAAAATATCTACACCAAGTTTTGAATCAACCTGTATAATATGCTCAAGAGGTATCCAATTTTGGAAACATCACTGTGGTGTATTGTCCCTAGTGTGGCAACACTGCTGGTGGAGGTATCCAGTGGGTGTTGGATAGAAACTCACATTGGCATGGAGATTTTTGTTAGTTTGCTCGGATGTTGATATTTTGTGACAATTCATTAGGAAAGTATGAATTCAATAAAGTTGATATATGTTTAGTGTAAGAAGTGTTATTTGAGGCTTCAACATTTTGGCGACAAGGATGGGATTAGCCTCATAAGTTTACGAAGTTTGCATCTGGAAAAAACGTTCAACAAGATGGCCGGCCTGGGTAACATCGAACAATTCAACAGTAACGATCCCAAAGGATGGGAGTCGTATCAAGAAAGGATATAATTCTTTTTGGCTGCTAATGGTATCACAGACGAGAATCAGTAAATAGCTGTGCGCCTGAGCCTCTGCGGTTTGTCAACATACGAGATTCTACGATCTCTTTTAGCACCCGCCCGGGTCAACAGTGAAAGTTATGATGAAATAATAGCAATCCTCAGTGGGCATTTCGCGCCTCGCACTTCAGAGATGGTGTGCCGATTCAAATTCTATAGACGTAGTCAACAGCCAGAAGCATTGCTGGTTTCATCAAGGAACTTCGTCATTTGGAAGAAAATTGATGTTTTGGCGGGACCCTGGAGACAATGATTCGTGACACCATCGTGTGCGGGGTGAGAGAAGAAGCTCTCCAACGTCGACTACTGGCGAAAAAGGACCTAACTTTCACGAAAGCACAGGACATGTCTTTTGCGCATGAAGCAGCATCTCTTAGCATGTCCCTTTTGAAGGAATAAACTATGGCCATATTCCGAATTCAACTGACAGTAGTGAATCTGCTGATTTTTCATTCCGAAATCAAAAAATTCACTGAAAGTGACAGATGCTTGTGAGCAGACATACTATTCATTCCAAATATTTCGACTCAATATTCTGCTGAAATTGCTAACTTTCGAAAGGTAGGTGGGCTTCAGTGAACTGTCATTATTTTAGAAGGGGAAGGAATGTAACATTCATTTCCGTTGTTATAATAATATACCATTCTCAATATCAGAAAATACCTGTTATTGTTATGATAAGCACTGGGAATATTGAGTATGAAGTAGTAGAGGTAACGAAAGAAGAAGCAGCATTGGCTAAATAAATAACTAAATAAACCTGAAATGTCTCCTAAATTCATCATCATTACGTTTCCTATAAATCTTTCAATTCTCAATCTCGTGCATCATTCGAAATCAATGGCAACAAAATGTCCAAGAAGTATTCTTTATCACTCGAGCCTGAATCTGAATCGTCATCGTCAATAATCGTAAAAACTATGGAGGCTACAAGAATCGATTGCTCTTCCATGTTGAATATTAAATATTAAATAATAATCCAGATAAACGAGGAACTACAGACTGACAAACACCAGCTGATCAACTGCTGCTGACTACTGATGAAAACCATGAAAACGTGTCCCGAATTACAGCACTTTATTTTCGATTTTATATTTCGGAACACTTATTTTCAGCAGAGTCAGTGGATCTACTGACAGTACTGACCAGTTGAATTCGGAATATAGCCTATGCAGGTAGGGTTGACTGCCAACAGTAACAGTAGGAACCATAATTACGTCAAACCCTCTAACAAAATCGAAAATGACAGATCCGACAGAGGTGTCAGTTTTGACAGAACATTGAATGAACTGAAATCAATAGTAAAAACTCCACAAACGGAAAGATTTCCACAAAATTTTTAAACACACGTCATGTTTCGCTAACACAATAGCTTCGTCAGGTGATATACTGGTACAATGAACTAAACTAACGTTCGCTTGCTTAACTGCTACATGAACTGTTTGCCACACATGGCATTCCAGAAGTAGTGGTATCCGATAATGGTACTGCTTCCATCTCCAATGATTTTAAGAATTTCCTAGGACGAATTATAATAAGACAGGATCATGTAGCGCCCAAGTAGTAATGGTCAAGCTGAGCGAATGGTTCAAAATGTGAAGTCTGCCATTGAGAAAATGTCTGGTAATGATATATCGGCAACTTCATCATGCTGTCTACTGATACAGAATATAACACCACACAGTATGACTGCGAAATCACCAGCCGAGGTGATGATGGGCCGTAAGTTGATAACACTCCTGGATAGAGTACAGGCAGATTTTAGGAAGGAAATTATTGCAAAACAGAAGTCAAAATCACCAAGGACTAGGGACATCAGGACATACAATGAGGAAGGAAATGTGTTCGCTCGATCTTATACTCCTGGTCAAAAATGGATACCATCCCAAATCATTCAAAACACAGGACCAGTGAGATACCGAGTAGGCACCCCCGATGGAAGACATACTGATCAACTTCGTGCTAGAATCCAGGATGAGGGCTGATGGGGAAGCGGGACATTTATCAGAAGTGGAAGAGATACCAATGATGCAGTCTCCATCTATTGAAGCTACTAGGCAGCCAATGAATGACACATCAAATGTACCTGCTCAGGATTTTCAAGTAAGGCCGTCTCGACAATGGTGTCCTCCTAGATACCTTCAAGATTATACCCCATAGACTTCTCGGGGAAAGAGGAGTGTGGTCTATTGCCACTAGAGTGGCAACACTGCTGGTGGAGGTATCCATAGTGGGTGTTGGATAGAAACTGACATTGGCATGGAGATTTTTGTTAGTTTGCTCAGATGTTGATATTTTGTGACAATTCATCAAAAAAGTATGAGTTCAATAAAGTTGATACATGTCTAGTGTTAGATGTGTTATTCGAGGCTATTGCAATCACAAAAATGATTATTACTCTTCCTAGGGATTTACCACAGGACCGCCCTTGATTAGTTCTTAAGTTTCATTCTTTGTTATAACAATACTAGTATTTTTTTTTATCTCGAGTTGTATCGAAAGGCAATTGCTAAAAAATGCTTGAAGTATTCGTCTTTCAACCACGTCATACTAGGAAATCGAGCGTAATTTGAAGACCGGAATATTCACTATTATTCACACTATTTCTCATTGCGTAAAAATATATACAGGGCTTCATTCAGAATTCTCCACCTATGTTTATATCCGATAATACTGAAATCAATATTCGATATAGTTTCTCCATGAAAAATTCATTCAGATGTTGAAAGTCATAAACATGAAAATTGAAAAACAACTAAACCCAAGTAGCACACATATATTGGGACAATATCGGTGCAATATTACGAAAATATCGGCAAAATATTGTGAAAGTAATATTGGCGAGAAAAAAAATGTGAACATTCGGCGATATTGGTACAATATCAGTTTCCAAATGTGGGTAGAATATTCTCATATTAATATTGGTTGAATATTCGTAGAGTAATATCGGACACAAAATGTAATATCAATATTGGCGAGAAATTAATGGTGAACATTCGGCAATATTGGTGTAATATATGGAAATATCGGTGAATCATTGGAAATCATCATGAAGGTATGTTGTCTCAGAAATATTGGTTGAATATTCTCATACCAATATTGCTGGTATATTCGTGAAGTTATATTGGTGCAATATTGGTTGGGAATATTGGTACATTATTGAAAATCATTATGTAGCTATGTTGTCTTCAAAATATTGGTGGAATATTTTCATACCAATATTTGCGAGTTATTCGCATCAGGAATAATCACAAAGGTCAGACCAGCCGGAGTGCAATGGGAGGGCCTTGCCCTAGGGAAGCCGCCTTGTTGATCACGGTTAACCCCTACTCCAGGTTATAATACTTCACAATCGTCTAGAGCCAAGATTTGAATTCTCTCGTCGGATCGGCAATGAGAGTACGTTACCAATCATTTATAGCGCCATCTATCGACATCGGTTTAGGAGTGCGTAATATGGAATAAATATCGAAATTCCGATATCGATATGTATTCTCAAAACAATATGTGAACAATATTGCTTACATGATATAGTGAATCACTTATCAGCCAATATAAGATGATATTATTTTCTGAATATGGCTAGAAAACTATTCACACGATATGCAATTGAACTTGAAAATACAATATTGTTTTTCTCTTCTATGTCCGATATAAGATACATATTGAATTGCCGTTATTGATATTCATATTTGAATCATTGAAAACCCCTTCAGAATCGACATGTGGAGAATGTTCAAATTGCTATATTGGTTATAATTGTTGGAAACAATATGTATACGATATCTTCCGCATGATATAGATAAAATGATATCAATCAAGATGGGTGAATATAATGTTTCAACTATTGTTAAAACAATATCCAACCGATATGCCGTTTAACTTGAAAATACAATATTGCATAACCGCTTCAGAATCGACATGGGGAGAATGTTCAAATTGCAATATTGGTTGTAAATGTCGGGAACAATATGTATACGATGTTGTTGTATCGACATTCGTGAAACAATATTATATAACATTCATAGATATGTTTTTCAACACATTGTTAACGAATTTTACAACCAATATTGCTCCAATATTGTAGCTGACAATCCATATTCAGCTCAGGATGAACCAATATTCCACCAATATTATCATTCCAATATTGTTTGTCCAATATACTCTCATATTGGACCTATATTATTTTTCACATGTACGATATATCTATATCGGCCCAATATGAAATCGGGTTCCAGCCAATATGATGTGCTACCTGGGAATGATGCCCTCGCCAATGCTTTCGTGGCCTGATATTATAAAATCATTAACAACTGATTTAGAACTTCTCGTTTCACGTTGAACGTTCATTATTATATTGAGTAGTTAGCGTAACTGTTTGCATAGACACAAGATTCAACTAATTCGAGCTTGAATGCTAATGGCTTCCTAATAATTCATCAAGTGAGAAGAAACGCCAACGGCATACACCAATATTTATAGATTTGTGTTTCCTGTAACCTACCTTCAGAGAACCGGCTGATTTGCTTTATATAATATGCATGTTCTAAATTACCTTGTTCAACGACTGAATAATATTTTGTTGGTGAGGAGTATTCAGCTTTCTCGGAGAGAAGGATATCGTCGCACGTTCCCTGTCCGTCCTCATAGCGTCGAAATGGCGAAGGCACAATAATCAGAAACAATTATTGGTAAAAATAAATGTCAAGTGCTCTGAATGAAACGTTTTCATTTGTTGACACTTTCAGAATCTAGGGGGTTATGATTTTGAAAGACTTTCAGATTTTCAAAATTGCGAAGGCAATATTATGATGACGATGAACTGCACATTCTTCCATTTGATTTTTTTTGTGGGATCAATATCATTTCAGCTATAGCTATTGTATGAAATCACCCTGTAGACTGATTCATCAGAAAAATATTCACTCTTTCTAGACAGCACTGTATGTTTTGGATGTAACTCTGCTTATAGGTATACCTAAATAAGATCCTTACTGCATTTTGAGGGACTCGGCAGCTAGTATAGGTATACTCTCTGAATTTTTATGCCATACATAATCTATATAAATTCCGGCATGGAATCATAGTGTCAATTGTGATTTCTTGAAACAATTTTCAGCCCAAGGTTTCATACTGGTGATTTTTCCAGGGTGGCTCACCTCTATAACCTTTCGAATTATACTATTTCTTTGGACGAGTAGACGAAATTCTAGGCCATGCCCTAGGCGAGTCCTAGAAGTCTGCGAGTTCAAAAAAAACTGTTTTTGGACATGCAGCGTAAACTATTTTTTGACAACCATGTAGAATAACAAATCAACACATTTCTATATTATATTTCTTTGTTCATTTCATTTTTCTTCATTGATTCTCATTTGTATCAAATACTGAAATTTGAATTGAATACCCATTATAACTGTTTCATTGGACATTTTTAAACTCACTATCGCAGCTGCTTTCAGTAGGTTATTGTGCTAATTGCAACCAAACTTTCATATATCAAAATGTCCACTAATTTTATGTCAAATGGCTGTCAGCCGATATTTCGTTGTCAAGGTAATTATCATCTACATTTATCAAAACCATATCTATCAAGATTTTCATAATTACAGTGACAACAAAGATGTGATACTTCCCGGCCTAATCCGGGAACTACGTACTTCCTGGACTAGGCCGGAAGAATGCTACTTTCTTGAAGAAGAAGCGTCTGGGAGGTGAGCACTTCCTGGACGGTTGCCGAAAGAACCTTCTATTCAACTCACAATGTATGGATTTATGTATATTATTCTGGGTGGAATCTTTGAACTCAATTTTGAAGTAGATATCTTCAATCTATTGTGCTGAAATTTTTTATGGACGTTTCGTTTGGATGACAATGCACAATTTGGTGTGTGAAGTTATTCTGAATCCAATATGGCGGACCGACCAAGATGACGAAATAGTTATTTTTAATGCACTTCCACAATAAGGGTATCAAATGAAAAGGCTCGTTGGGAGAAATTCAGAAAATATTGTGAAAAATCCTTGAAATGTCTCCTCATTGAAGAACTGGACTGCTTTGGATGAAATGATGAAACTGAGAAACCCAGCCAGCAATAACTAATAATTCAAAAATGAATCAGAAGTGGAATTTAATATTGATGAATTTAAATAAATAGATTTCATTCAAACGCTCTGCAAAAAATGAAATAAAATGTTCCTGCAAAATTTCAACTATCGATCAACTCATAACCTCATCATTATACACAATTTATATGATCATAAGAGCTTGTCGCGCGATTCGCTTGTGTGACTAATACTAATTCAATTTTTTTATGGGTCTGAATATATTTCAAATTGAATGAACATATAAACATAACATAATAAATAAATAATGGTTTTCCACTTCATTCACTTCACAAGTGAGCTGGGGCAGAAAGAACGACTGGGGCAGCGTGCACATACTGGGCTGCACGTACTGGAGCAAGCATGTGCAAGTGGTGCAGAATATACCTTCTGTACTGGGGCAGAGTATACATTCAGTACTGGACCAGAGTGAACAATATCTACTGGGTCAGAGTGTGCAGCTGGAGCTAGGTAAACTGGAGTTTCATGCTTCTCCACGACTGTGTTGAACATGTCGTGGTTATCAGCGGAATAGACTGTACGAAGGGTGCTATCGGGATCAGCTACGGAGCAGTAGCTTTTCACAGAGTCAACATCACGTTGTTCGAATTTGGGGTGAGCCTCTTGTTGATAAAAAAGAATATAAGCATCCCCACTTACGAGAGAGTTCGGCGGAATTGAAGAAACCAGGGAATCATTGTATTCGTGCCAAATTTTCGTATATAGATGTCTGCAGTAGGCTGTGAAGTGTCCGCTGTAGGTGGTACCGCTGTGGTTTGAGATAGCGTACAGATTGTTAGGACATGGTACGATATCTTCAGCTGCATAGGGGCTCATGTCTAAGCCGATCAAGGGGAAGTCGACAAATGTGTTAAGTTTCTCACTGAACTCTACAGACTGCGAGAAACGTTTCAGATGTATAACTAAAATTTTTGGGAACTTCAAACATTTTCTTTTCTCTCTACACATCGAGCAAGTTGGTTTCTCCTCGCCGTCTAAAATCTCAACACTCGTGAACGAGTCCAAGCAGTGTGACAAGCTGAGTTGGCCTGATCGCTGTGGTATCGGTAAAGACAACTCCCAAAATGGGTCGAATGTCTCCGAACAATATCCACAGAAGGTGCATCTCAAAGTAGACTTCAACTGCCCGACAAAATTATCGACGAACTTAGATTTATTCATTATCAAGAATCTCGACCACGAATCCATTGCGTCGACATTAAAACTGAATGATTTGTCGATTTCCATAAGTACTGGCTTTGGGTTCGGGTTCGGTTCATCTACGGCCATGTTGACGTCCTCGTGCAGCCCCTCCAGCAGGTAACAAAGAAATTCTTGTGCATCCTGTTGCGAGGAGCCTCTGAATTGAGGTGCGAACCTTTGAATCCGAAGTTTCAGATCGTCCAAACATACGACTCGGATCGAAGGATCGTTCGACCAAAGCTTCTCTATGACGTCTGCAAATGCTATTATCAGAGTCCCCTTCTTGCTTGATGACCTCTTGTTCAGATCATTGAAGTAAGCATTCTTCCTCAAATATTCCAACATCCACTCAGTTTGAGACAGGCATTGAACGACGCTGTTCATGAAACAAGTGTTCCCGATATTTTTCAAACCGATTAGGCCTGAATTCAGAACAGGTGGTGGCAACTGCGATCTTAGGGCAATATTGTCCGGATTACTGAGGGGTCGGAGGTAGCAATCATCGTCTCTGACAATAGTTTGGCAGTGGATAGGATTCGGATTTGAGATGACGGGTAAGGAGCTGGACTGAGTTAAATTGAAGCTTTTTTCATTCAACTGAGTATAGAACTCCGAAGTTTTTTGTAAACGAATAAAAATTTCATCCAATCGCTTAGTGGAAGGAATAGAACCCAATATTGATGATGCATTTCCTCTTTGGATTGCGATACTAATACGCTGAATCAGGAAAGATCGAGCTCTATTATCGTCAGTTTTATGGATGAGTTCCCTTTCAATGAGATTGAATAATTCTGTAGCATAGGGGCCAAAAGATCCGTAAGTTTCTATGGCAACAGGATACAGAATATATTGGTCCCTCGAAGTAGAATATTTTTTCAACTTCATTTTTTCAGCTGAATCTGCTGCTCCTCCGGCGATTTTCGATGTCGAATCGATATGTGAAGCAGCAACTGTATCTACGCATGTGAAGTCCCATACTGAAGGTTTTCCGTGACTCCATGGAATGAGAGACATCCCATCCGGACGTTTTCCGTCATCACGACTGATTCCCAAAGGTTCCAAAATAGCTGGAATATCCGAAGTTGTCAAAGCTCTTCTAATCAGATCATTAACAGTAGAGTGTCTAGGAAAACGACCTGCACTGAATTTACAGCTCAAACCATGAACTCCCTTTTCGTTAACGGTAGATCCACATCTGCATTTATGTGTAGTACAAATTGAACAACCTAGACGTAAGCCTACAGATATCCTGAAAGATTCATCATCCAATAATGTTCCAAGGAATGCAACAGGAAGTGCATTAAGCCAAGCTCCAGATTCCTTTGTGCTTACTGCCTTGAGACGAGCCTCTTCAAATGGGGAGTTTTTAGCTGAGTCAAGGAGATGTTTGGATGACAAATCAATCAACGGAAGATCCCATGATTTCTGAGAACATTCATTGTCAGGTTTCAATGTTTTCGAAGTCGAGCACCACATAGATTCGCATTCAGTATACAAAGGATCAGAAATAACAGAAAAGGAATCTGGTAGAATCTGTTTGACAAAATGTTTAATGCTGTTGAAAGACGAAAGGGAAGCTGGCAAAGTGAGTGAAGATGCCCTTCGGATTCCCAACCCACCTTTATTCACAGGAAGTGATGCTTGTACTCATGATGATTCGCTGAAATTATTATTCGTAATCTGTTCTAAAATTAGGCGAAGTGTTGAATCAAAGAGGTCTAGCTTCTCTTGACAGTGCCAAGTAGGGCAGCATCTCAGTGTATACATCAGTTTCGGGATGGCTAAACAGTTCTTCAGGAGAAAATATGCGATATGGTTAGGGATGATATTGAACCGAGATGCCATCAGAAGCAGGGAGTTTGTTTTCTGCTCGAGACATTCTGCTAGAGATTCATCCGAAATAGGTGCACCAAGAAGATTCCAATCGTTCCTTTCTACAATTTTCATACCAGGAGCAAGACTGTTGAATTTTTTTGCTATGATGTCTATATGTTCATTCAGAAATAGCAGTTCGCATTTCGCGAAATTTAATTTGAGGCCAATTTCTTCGGAAGACGAAATAATTTTCCTGAATTGTTCTAAAATGGAATCAACGTTACCTCCTATAGAGCCATCGTCAAGATACCAGCAATTGAAATCAGCTACGATGGATTTTGTTAAAGGTTCAATGCACAAACAGAAGAGGGCGGGTCCTAAAGGGTCTCCTTGCTGAACACCTCTTTCTGATAAAATGACGTCATTGCCAAAATTCAAATAGGTAGGCTCTCGATAACATTGACTTATGAAGGGATAAAGATGTGGGATTGCGTCTTTGACTCTAGCTATCAAAATATTTCTGTGAAATCTGCTGATATTAATTTTTTGAAATTTCAATTCAATCAAATATTGATCATAGCGACAAGCTTTCATATGATCATGTGAATTGTGTTAAATGAGGTTATAAGTTGAGGGTTGAAATTTTGAAGAAACATCACATTTTATACTCTTCAGAGAGCGTTCAAACGAGAGTTTTTCATTAATTTTTGTTCATCATCATTGAATTCATTGAAGCGAACTTTGAAGTTTAAGAATTATAGTTCAATTGACGTTTTTCGACATCTACTTGCTTTGCCGTACTTCCGGTTTGACCTGAAACGTCTCAAACTCTCGATTTTCAAATGAGACACACTCCATTTTATGCCATAATCGGTAAGGAATTGTCATGAGGCCTATCCTAGGCCTCAGTAATTATCAACTTTGCTCTTTTCCTCAATCAAGTACCTATAGTCAATGCCTGTTCTTTGATTTGGGCACATGCATCTGTTTATTTGAAGTTTTTTTTTCGGGAAAATATCCAGAAGAAGAATAGTTCAGGAGAATAGTCTGCCTTTTGGAGCCAATCATCCAGAAAATTTTTGATAAAGTTCAACGTTTCGAGTGAGCCGAGACTGTCAGAAGGAATGCACCATATTATATATAAAAAAAGTCGTTTTCGATTCCTTTCATCTGTTCTCGAGTTCAACGTCATGCCAAAATGCCTTCCTCCGCTTTTTCACAAGAAGAAAAATCCATTTGTTTATTTCGAATTCGATTTATTCTTTTTCGAAAAATCATTAACAATCTGCCTCGTTACAACATTATGATGATTATGAAATTCCGAAGATTGACTCAGAATTTATTTCAACTGATATGGGAGTACCACATGGTTCCATTTTTGAACCAATACTATATGATTGGAGTGATTCAGGGTGATACGCAGTGATACAGGGTGATCAGAATTCTGAATCTTGAACCACCCTGTATCCGTTTCGCATATGTATCAGTGAATAGTGAATCAAAATTTGAGATCGGGACATTTGAGCCGTTTTGACCAATAATAAATAGTTTGGACACAAAATAAGATCCTGAAGTTGAAACATCTCGATTTTGAACACCGTATATCTCTGTTTTTTCTATAGACCCGAAATGTGATACATAGAATAGATCAGCTCTTAAGGAAAAATTCAAAAATACGATGAAATACCTAAGTGTTTCAATCGAAATATAAATGTTGCTACTACTTACTACTAGAAGCAGCAATACTGCTTTGTCGAAAATATTCCAGATGAAGAGAGCGCATTTTCAATATTAGAATGCACATTTTCATGGATTTTTTCTGACTGATTCTCGATTTGAAGATAATGTAAGCTTGTAGTGACATACCCTGTATAACTTTGAATGTTAATACTTTTCTAATACCTACAAAGGATGTGGATGTTTTTCACCTACCTGGAACAATCGGATATGTGGCAATTGCTAATGCATTCGAAAAAATGACAGGAATTCAATAATTGAGGAGAATAACAGTTTTTTTTATCGCTTGGAGCGCACGGAAGGAAATCCCTATAATTTTCAAAGAACATCGTGCGTTCCTAGGGAGGATAGGAACAGAAGGTAGGTATTGGAATGTTTTTTGAAGTTCTGGAGAAAGGTAAATAATTCAACTATGGATAGGGGTCACTGAGGTGATTTCAAAAAACCCATGGTTGATTGGACTTCGACTTCTTATTACCAAGATACAGGATGTTTCATCAATTTTGTCCATATCTCCATTGTCTCATAACTTTCCAACAAACCTGTATATATTTCTGAAAATTGGTACACTTGCTCAATCCACCCTGTGGAATTGATTGAGGCAACAACAAAAGATAAAATCCAGGTCCGACTTCACTTAAAATTCACAACTTCTTTCTGCCAGAAAACAACATCCTATACATTCGAATTTCTCATTTTTTTGCCATATCTGAAAAGAACATCAAAATTTCTATTCAACGATGAGATTTTTATTCGTGCACAGACGATTTTAACTATTCATATTATGTGCTCAAAATTTTATTTTTGCTCATTTTGGGGTACAAAATTGGAATCAGACGGGATTTATTAATTCGATTACTTCCTATTCAGTATACGTGAGTTTAACATTTAGAAGGAGTATTTCATATCGTTCTTTGTTCCAGACTTAGTTGCAGGTTCGTCATCAAAACTATACAGGGCTTTTCACGATAAGCGTTAATTAGATGTTTCTGGCAAACCAGGCAACGGATAAATCTAAAAATTCGAAGGTATGTATGAATTAACATGATCTACACGTCTGAAATATTTGAAACAATCCGGCGTTGCCGCTTCTACTCGAAAGTAGCAGTAACTTTGATTTTTCAAATGGGACACTCTGGATGCTTCCTGAAGAGCTGATTTAATCGATTCACAAAGCTCGGGGTCTAGTAGGACTAATAACTGAGATATTTAGAGTAAGAAAAATCGAGATGTTTCAACTCTAGAATTATTTTGCGAAAATATTTATTATTGATCAAAACGGCTTTTATGTCCCTATCTTAACTTTGTAATGGTTCATAATTCAGATTTCTGCACCACCCTGTATCTGTTTCAACTGAATATATGTTTTTTTCAGATATGGCAAAAAAATGAGAAATTCGAATGTATAGGGTGTTGTTTTCTGGCAGGAAGAATTTGTGGATTTTAAGTGAAGCCGGACCTGGATTTTATCATTTTTTGTTGCCCCAATCAATTCTACAGGGTAGATTGAGCAAGTGTACCAATTTTTAAAAAATATATACAGGTTGGTTGGAAAGTTATGAAACAATGAAGATATGGACAAAAATGATGAAACATCCTGTATCTCGGTTATAAGAAGTCGAAGACCCATTAACCATGATTTTTTTTCAATCACCCCAGTGACTCCTATTCACAGTTGAATTATTCACCTTTCCCAATGAAACACCCTGTATATTGTTGGGAATACTTCCTCAGGCAATGAATTCCAGAGCCAAGGTGCTCTATGGATGGAGGAGTTTTGATAAAGTGCTGTTGGAGCAGTTTTTCATTCAGAATAGTATGTGTTTTATTCAATGTTTGTGTTTAAGGCTTCGCTGTTTGTTACATATTGATTTTGAACGTACCTACTGCTACTTGCTGATTCTCAGGATTCAATTGAGAAATTACGACTATTATCATCAACACATAAACTGAAATGGAATATTAAAAATCAAGGATGAAACTCCCAGCCCTCCTAGATTCATCTAGAGGAAGAGTCACAGTGTAAATAGATGGAAATATCTCCTTTCATCAAAAACTCATCCCCCTTATGTTTTCTATGACTCAATAATTCTTCAAATTCATCTGAGTTCTTCATTCGGTATTCATAATATGCTTTCATCAAGTTGTGTTGCAACATCTATACCTTTTCAAAATAAGACCTTCAATTTCCAAATTGAGGAAATATATTCGATCAAATTGAAAATAATCATTTCCAGATCCATAATGAACAGTTTCGCTAGAACAATGGTGCTCCGACTGGGACATCCCCTTGAATGACAGCAAATGTTGTGTACTACATTTTGGCAATGATAATCCATTCCACAACTACTGTTTCATCAACAATACAGTGCCGTCCGTGGACGAGCAACATGATCTAGGTATCACCATCAACAAGAAACTCTCCTGGTCAGGTCATATAACAGATATTGTACACAAAGCAAACAGTCGCATCTTCCTACTGCGCAAGTGTTTCACCAACCCTAGTCTAGAATCCCTGTATGTATTCGACACTTTTGCTGTGATAAGAGTACGGACACTATGACAAGCAGTGACAGAAGGCATAACCCTAAGAAATTTGAAATGACATGAACAATTTGGCGGGCACTGACAGTTCATGAACGTACATGACATCAAATTATTTGAAAATTCAGGTTTACAAAAATTAAAATGTCTAATTGTGTAGTGGAGAATTGCAAAAACTGAAGCGAGCCCTTCCAATTATTCCATTTCCCCCATTCTAACCAACAACAGTTACAGAAATGGAAGGAAAATATGAAGCGGCCACTATGGAAATTGAATTCAGGTAGCAAGATTTACGAAGTAAGTACTCAATATTTGAATTTTTCGAATGAATATGATGCATATTCGAAGGAATAATATCCTTTATAATTTCAATTTTAATA